GAGTTCCTTACGGGGTCCAAGTCATTAGGTAGTCCCCCTAGGATTTTATCATGTGGTACCAACGACTGAAAAAAAGGAAGGATGGGGAAGGAAAAAAATGGAACAGATTTAGTGCAATAAATGGCTAATAATACTGGCTTTTGAAATTTTTAACCAAAGGTACCCTTTTTAGGACAACTAATAAGCCTTAACCATGGTTGATAATTAACCAAGGATGCACACAGTGTCAGCTTTTACAAGGTCTGGAAAAACCACAAAACAAACAAAAAACAGCTCAAAGAAAGAAAAGTCTCATCAGATATAAACCAGGTACTATTCACGTTTTTGTCTGTCCATATTCTCTAAGGGTTCTGCTTCTCACCACACCATTTACATACAAAAGCCCCAAAGCCTCTTGTGCATCTCACAGGGGAGACTCCCAGTTAACCTTTTTTAGATCAGGAGAGAATAAACCTGGTTGCAGTTTCATGGACAGATATAGAAACAGATGTCTCAGGTAAGCTTTGTTTAGTATCCCAGATAGTCACAAGAATTTCTCCATAGTTCTTGAACGTGTCAGCCACGGAAGTCCCCGAAGTGATGAATCAGGGACTACACTCAAGATTTTCACATCATCCCTTAGTTTTCTACACTCTCCCTTCGAACTGCGGATTTTCCGTAGCTGTAGTTACCTGGGGAAGGCGTCCCTTCAGCGCTCTTAATGTGCGCGTCTTCACGAAACCTATGGACAAGTCTGGCTAGATCCTCCGCAGCAAACCCAGGACCGACAGACATTCCCTCCGCAGTCTGTCTGGATGGAGGGAACTGGAACTAGGGAGAAATGAAGGGAAGGGGAAGAGAACAAAGTCTCGAAGATCTTTATCCGGAAGGTGAGAGCCCCTGGGTCCCGGGGAGCTGACCATAGTTTCTCCCAGTGCGGTTGGAGAGACAACTGAGCTGTCCCCGGGCTTCTGCAGACATCAGTGCACTGGCTTGCGATCACTGAGGGAAACCGGGCATCTCCTGCAGCCCTTCTTGGAAGCCAACTTGTTAACTGAAAGACCATAATGGAGTTTATAATTTAGAAAAGAGAGATGTATTCCTCACCAAGAGCTGCAGACCATGGATGGCCATTCTGGCAGTCTAGAAAGCAGGGTCCCCAGCCACAAGCGAGGAACACAGGCTTTAAGGCAGGGACGGGGGAACAGGGTATTCTACTGAGCAGGGCAGCCAAACGCGGGTTATTTCACAAGCCATAGGCGAAGTCCTGAATGTTTATGGGAGGAGGAACACGCCCCTGCGCAATGGGGTTTTCGGCCCTTCCATAAGGTCTGTATTCAGAAATGACTGAGTCGCTATGTCAAAACGATGAAATAAGGACACAAACATCTCCTGTGCATGCTCCAGACTGTTTAAAACCACTTCATGCTTGGTGGTTAGAAAGAATGCTAGTCTGGCCTTTAGGGGGAAAAAAAATCATTATGGCCACTAGCAAGGCAGGAGGTAAAATGATGCACGTCTGGCTTCGCATCCTATCATGGCTGGAAACTGGGGTTTTAGGTTTCCCTGGGGTCTCTTAGCCCTAGAGGAAGGCTGTTCAGTCAGTGAGAGGTGGGGGGAGTTAGGGTTTTATTTTAGTTCACACTCTGAAAATGGCCTGGCTAAAGGAGGTCTCCTTGAATCCTCCAAGAAGCCATAGAGTGAAATAGCTACAAGGCAAATCTTTCTCTTGCTGAAAAATAACCATCTTTGCTCGCATCTCTTCAATGCATTTTTGTGTTGAAAAGATCTGCCCCCCTTTTCAAACAGAGGTAATAAGGGGAAGGAATAAAAGGGCTGTGGAGGGCCCAATTCTTGTCACATATAAAATTATAATAATCATGAGTCACCTATTTCACAAATTACTATGAACATTCCATGTGATAATAAATGCGAAGAACTTTAAAGAGTTAAAAGTGCAATCATGAAAGGTGATGTGCTCCAAGGTCCACCTTCAGTCTGTGAACTCTTTGTTTCTGGTTCATGGTGTGAGAGAAGTACAAAAAACTGAGAGTAAGTATTTAGAAACTGTTATAGAAATTTGACAAAGTAATTTTATGTCTGTTGAACCAAATAATAAAAGATGTGGGCTTGTATTTTTGTACGTCTAATTTTTTTTTTTACTTCATCTTCCCATAATTCATTTTCATTGTATTTTACAAAGGCAAAGAAAAACCTGTCCTTCACTGCACATAGTCTGAGAAGCATTAATAAAAAGGCATTATTATTTCCGAAATTTTGCTAAAAAAAAACCACTAAATGTCTAATTATAAACTAGTCATAAGTTGTTATTTGAGAAACACAGTTTTGTACCCCAAGTATAAGGAGTTGGCAGCATACAAACAAGTTGTTGAACAGGTTTGTGTTGTATTGAGTAACTTGGTTATTGGGCTGGTACAGAAACAATGCAGGAAACAACATAAACTGGGAGGTTATGCTCTTTATCTACAAATCTTCAATATCTCAAAAGATAGCGAAACTATACTATAACATTTAATAACCAGTGAAATACTCTGACAAAGGAGAAGATAGGTGTCTGACTTCCAAATTAGAAAATACCTCTCACCCTCAATCCCACCCAGTATGGTGGTGGCGGTGGGGTAATGATGGGGCCACTTCTACAGAAGCTGCTTCAACCATATTCAGAAAGAATATTGGGCTACCGTGAACTTCACAGGGAATAATGGGGGAACTCACTGGTCGTGTTAATTAAATGAGGCTTCTTTTTCTCTAAGACTCTCTGAGCATGCAGTTAAGAAGGTGTTGTCAGACTGGAAAGCCCTGGTTCTTTACAGCAAACGCTTCCACAGGAAACCCCTGAAGTTCATTTCCCCTGACCACTCAGCATCAGGATGACAAGTACCTAGGCTTCATTCTGAACTGAAATCCAGCAGTGGTGAGTGCTGGGATTCTTATTTTCCTTTTGTTGCTATTGCTGTTTGAAAAGATTGGAAAGACAAATCTGGGCTTGGTGACAAACATTGCCAAAGTCAATTAGTGACATCTGGCATGGGAAATGAAAGAAAGGGAAGTCAGCACGAGAGCTAATTTTTGCTATCCTAAGTCCAGACTAAAAGACGCAAACCTTTAAACCTTTAATCTTAGCTGAAACCAAGCTGAATTATTAAGAACATGACTATTTTTTTTTTTAAGTTTGGGACTAGCAAAGGGGAATAGACATAGAGAATGGCACGGAGGTAGGTAATCTTATTTGCCATCTGTGTTTTCCTCATGTTTTGACACCTGTGGGAAAACACTGTAGCCTGCCTGGCTCCTGACCAAGAGTCCAAGAGGCATTGTTTTATGTATTTCCCACCACCCAGGAATCCTTGGAACAAGACTCAGACCTAATAGAGAAACCCAGGCAATGGATCCAGGTCCCATTTTAGGTTGTCCTTCTAAATTCTGATCTTGTGAGGCTCCCATGATTGACACAAAGAACATCCCTAAGAGAAAAGATCTCATCTTCCTTTACACGATCATAGCCTTACCCTATGTTGATGGGTTCTTTTGGGGGGGGGCAGGGCTGGGTTTGAACCTGCCACCTATGGTGTATGGGGCCAGTGCCCTACTCCTTGGGCCACAGGTGCTGCCCTGTTGATGAGTTCTTATCCTAAGTGATCCATTGATAACTCAGGGTGGTTAATGACCTTAGATAATAAAAAAAAAGTTGACTTCAAATGGAATTTAGTATTTTCTTCAATTACGAAAGTCGGAAATGAATCTCAGAAGCATTCACAGTACTTGAGACTTTGTTATTAATGGAAATAACAGTTATTTTCATTATTTCATTGCAGTTGTTGGAGGTATCTTGAAACAACATTTACACCGTTGAAAGAATGTTGCTAGGTCTCAATATTTAATGTGTTAAATAATGTTGCACATATTACATTACTGTATTACTATGACACAAACATTTTAATATATTTTTATAATTGCATTTTAGTATAATTGGTTTTCTTTGCATTCCTATGCATTTACTTGTATACACTTATAAACATTCTGAGATGGTATCTATAGAGTTCCCACTGCCAGAAGAGTCTTTGCCACAGAAAAAGGCAAAGCTTCCTGGGCTTTCATAAGACAAGGACCATTATAGCCTATCTGTAATCCGTTGGGACTGAATCAGAGCTACACAAAGATACAAAGCTTTGTTGTTCTTTTTTCCTCCTTTTTGGTTATGGGGCGGGTGAAAATTGGCACCTGCATTTATTTACCGGTTGTTTATAAAGCTGATGTACGCTGAAAATTGGCAACCATCACCATTTCAGCCTACCTATTGTAGGCTGGCAATGAAACACTAAAAACCACTAGAAGCTTATTTCAGATGTACTCATTTCCTATAACAGGCCCAATTTTATCCCTTTTATACTTTTTTAAAATTTCCCTTTTATACTTTTTAAATTTTTTCCTCCATGTTAAGGTTTTTCGAGGAAAACAAAAATCCCCAACGGACAAATACTCTTATTCCCATACTTGAGGAGCTTGGATCAAGAAGCAGTGTCTAAGTCCTCAGGTCTCTATTCTAGATGAAGTATTACGAGAAAGAGGATATTCCATTTCTCCCATGTATATCGTCTGACGAAAAGTAGTGGAAATTTGACAAGACCCATCCCAGTACCTTTCCCGCCCTAAAAAGAATCTTTAGCGCTTTGCTGTAGAAAATTCGCTCCTCACTGGATTAGCGAATAGAAATGTCCTTGAAGACTAGGGAAGCGAAAAAGGTACGCAGGTTGCTGGAGGGGTTTGTGTGGGTTCTTTGGGGAAGGACGTGAGGGAACTCGACGTTTCGCCCATCAGCCGGCACTGGGGCGCGGGCGGGCTACGAAGGTCCCGGGAGGGCCTCCGGGCCAGCAGGTTTATGGGGACAAAGGTCAGGGCCGGCCGGGGCGGAGCCGCGGCGTCCCCGCGCAGGGGGGGCCGGCGGGACGGGGCGGAGCGCGGCCGGCGCCGCAGCCGGGAAGCCGGCACCGCCCACGGTGGCGCGCGGGTCCCACGCCATGGGGCGCCTGGTGGGTCTGAGCCTGATGGGGATAGCGCTGGCGCTGCTGGGCGAGAGGTTCCTGGCGCTCAGGTAGGTGGGGCCCCCGGCGCCCCTCCGCGCCGGTCCCCGGGCCGGGGGCGGTCGCGGGCGGCGTGCCAGGGCGCAGGCCGGTGGAGCGCTTCTCGGGCCCGGGGACCGTGTCTTCTGCTTGCTGTCTGTTCCCCGGGGGCTTGAGCCCCCATCATCATCACCCTCCGCTTCTAGTAGAAACCAGCGAAGTTTGGAGTGAAGCGCAGCACTTTCTCTTGCAAGTTTGTAAGCCTTTGCTGCTTACGGAGTTCTTTTCTGCCTAGGCTGACGGAGCGAGTGCACTTGCTCGAGGGGCCGACCCAGTGCTTCAACTCCAAAACAAAACTATTACTCATGCACTGCAACTTTAATTAGAAAGATGGACTTCGGGTCATTGATGCTGCTGCTTTTTGTTCCCTGAACCGATATCCCCCCATCATTAATAAAGTTCTTCTCCTTCCCTCCTGCGGCTTTCTAATCTTGGCGCTGTAGATCAAAGGCAACTGAAATATTCAGCTACAGTTCTTGCATCACTTCCTTATTTATCTGTTCCCCAGGGAACCCTGAAGCCGGAATGCCAAACAGTACAGCAGTACTCCAGCTCACATTGTAGTTACAATGGAAAGTCACTGCTGGGTAGACATCATAGTTTCTAAATTGCCGACTCACATTTTATAAGCCTCATGCAACAGAGTTCTGAAATACTGAGCACCTGCTATGTATGATGAGTTCTCTTAGGCGTTGGTGGTAGAGTTAAGGCCTTTACGGACGGGGTTTACCCTATTATGGAGAGGAGAAGAATAAAGTAACAGTAAGTACAGGAATTAGAGTGTGCTCAAGACAGGTACAAAGGAACACCTATAGGCTTCAGGAGGAAAGGTTAGCCCCCTGAAGGCGAGGTTCCAGAGGGAGGACAAGAGGTTTGATAGTGGCCTGGAAGGGGCAGGGGGAAGGCAGGATTTGGAGATGAAGGAGCCATCCCCAGATGGAACATGAGCCTCAGAGAGCAAAGGGGCTGAGGTGAGGGAGTTTGGAGACTAGCCAATGGACCAATTTTAGGGAAGCTTAAAGTCAAAGGATGGGAATAGTAGGGTGGGAGGAAGGATAGTTTGTGGGGGTGTTAAATCTATGTGTAAATTGAAAAATTGAGCTCTACTTTGAAAGGCCTAATATTTCCCCCAAAGCAAAGTATGAAGTTTTTTTGTTTGTTTCATTGTTGAACAAGAACCTGATAAAACTAGTTCTACTATACAGAGATGAACCTGGAAGGATGGACTGAAGTAGTGAAGTAGAGATATGGTTCTCTGTACATTAGGATATACTGGAGGGCCGGTGCCTGGGACCACCCCCAGGGAGTCAGTTGG